AATGAAAATACTGAATCATGATTATCCGGCATTTTGTACCTCTTGGAGTGATGGTGAGTATTGAGAGTTAAAAATTTTAGAATCTAATATGGATATTCCAAAAGATAAGTATCACACTTTTCGCAGTTGATACTTTCTACTTAATTCTATAAAGATCAACTATTGGTCGGCGGTGAAACACTCACTATTTGGGAACAAGCTGTATCACATAATCAAGAAACTCCCGTAAAATGGTCAAAATTATGGGAACAAAGGTTCATATTTTGTTTAAGCGTACGAATTGATACGCATATCAGAACATAGCGCTAATCTATACCTATATTTACATTGCAGGGTCTCCTCAAAAACCGTACTTGCACAATTTTCACCGGATTCTACATTATTTGCTTCTATGAGCGATGTAAGGCGCTATATATTTGCATAATCCTTCAGAATGATTTTATTAGTAATTAATTAAAATGTTCAATAATAAGAACGATAGGTTGGTGAAAATTTGGTGGGATCCTCATAATAGCGAGACGAAAGATCGAGAATATGCATTTAATTACTTACCACATCCAAGAGCCGTGACAAATTTTACATGGCGAAAATGTTCATCTGAACAAAAAAAGTAATATCCTTTGTCGTACCTTATAGCCCATCTCATTAGAATTATTTATAAATATTTTTAATCATGTAGTGCCGTAGGTTCTAATATTCTTATAACAATGTGTAAAGATGGAATCTGTCGAATCTGGGCATCAACAAATCCTGATGAGCCACAGTATCTCTATATATCAACAGTGGTTGATCCATCACAATCACTAGTAACACTCCAATCATTGGAAGAAGAAACAAACAATGAAGATCCTAATATTTTTACATCAATACATTGGATTGATTCAAAAGAATTTTTAAACGCACTTAGATCAAGTATTGAAGCGTTTGATGGAAATATAGATGATTCTATTTGTGGGAATGGATTAAGGAAATTGAGGAATTTGGCGAATGATACTCCTGATTTGTTATATCAGGTTCAAAGAGATGGATCGATGGTTATTTGGGGAATACGCGTAAGTCTATTTTGATGCATATTCTCCTTTATTATTTTTACGCAAAGATTCTTTATTCGACCGTAGAGCAGAATTGTACATTTTGGACTGTCTGTCGGACAGTTTGACTTATACATTTATAAAATGCACACATATCAGTGAAAGTAGTTCATGATAAAAAATATTGCGTTATTCAGTGTCAAACTCTGTTCCGAGTTGTCGAGTGGCAACACTCCGTAGGGCGCTACATTCATTATTCGGAATATAGATCAAAAACATCCCAAATTAACCTGATTTTTACGCGAAGACAAAGTTCGTTTTATTGGACATGATAGTTATGTAAACCTAGATATAAGTCAGGATTTTCAAGTGACAGCATTGAAATATACCGGAGTTTTACTTAATGTAGCGCTCTATGGTTAAACAATTTTCTAAAAGTCATCACTTGCGAACAATCATGTCTATAACCATACATATTATCAACATTAGAATTTGGTATTTATTTATATTTATGATAATAGAATGTTTACTGTAGACCACGACGGATTCCGAAAGTTCTCGTATTGCTACGTTTGGCTCAAGCACTTCCTATGTCAGATGTAGAATATTTCTGTGGAAAAACGTATACTTTTCATGATAATACACCTATAGATGGTTTAAAATGTAAGTTTTTATCTGATTTCATCCATCTAAAGGCCTACATAATTTTACTATCTCTTATAAACTATAATAATTTTCAAATAAAGCTTCAGTAGAACTTACCGTAATCGCACAAAGTCCACAAGGTCGATTGAATAAATATTCAATTAGATTGGTTGATGTATTTGATAATTTATCATCAAATATGCCAATACAACTTAAGTATTCATGGACAGGTCATCGTAGTGACATTATAAGCATGAAAAAAACTTCCGTAGAAGATACATTTGTATCGTTTGCGAAAGGTGGAGAGACAATTTTATGGAAGATTGTTGTGCCAAATGTTGATCAAGTATGTTATTATAGATTTCGTATACTTGAGTAGGTTATTGATTTATTTTTATGCTATTTTGTAGTCTGACAAACGAATTGGCCCAAGTATTACTGAAAAATTTCCTATTAAAATGGATTTTCGAATCAAGCTTTTTTGTGTTATTCCACATGGTATAATATATACAATTTTTTGCCGAACTTTTACACTTTGTTTATATTATAATATTTTAATGCGGAATTTCAAAATTCCTTTATTAGAGAATTTTGTGGTTTATGACGGAACTCGAATCGTTGTGTTTTCTCATACAAAAAATGGCCACTTTGTTCAAATAGCAATTCTTGAAGACTATGATCCATCCTTTGAGCTAATTTTGTTATTTAATTTTCAACACGTGACATTATCTTCGACAATTTATATTGCTGGAGTTAGTTGCAAAGAGAATACTGTTTTCTTGTGGAAACTTACATATAACGATTCAGGTTTTTATTACTTTCTCATAAAATTGATCTGTCTTATAAATAGTAATCTTAATTTTTTATTCTTTCAGCCACAACATTTCAACAGATAGTGTTTATTTCTAAGATGTCACTTCAATTAAGTTTCAAAATTGCAATAGCAGTGCCAGTTGAACAATGGCCAGGATCAAATGTAAGAAACTACGTGTCTCAAGACCGATACCACCCAGTTTTGGCAACTTTTAGTTCCGAAGATGGATACATTAGGTATTGGCAATGTAATTTGGATAAGAACTCTGGTCTGCAATCTCAGATAACAGGAAATATTTGGGCAGAGGAAGTAAAGTTTTTTGTTGGAGGAGAACCGAAAGTTATTAAATGTGGACCCCAAGGGAAGATTGCTGTTGGTATGTGGTTTGAGAATACCGCCTGCGAGCGGCTAACATTATATGATATGATTAAGTCTTTTTCTTTGTATATTAGTATTGCA